TTGAAGCTTGTTGATTATTAAAGTTGTGAGTTATTTTCTTACTTTCTCCTCTTGATTATTAATTCTTCCCTTAATCTATCTCTATATTAATGTTGGAGGGTGGCTAAGTGACGATTAGTTAACGTTCCAACATTGATTATTACTAGAAACGATCAACGAACCGATGGTTAAACGTTGATGGTTTCACAAGTAAGTAACTTCGGTTTATTAATGCACGGTCGTGGTTAATAAACTTAAGAGGGATTAATTTTGTTGGTTAAACCGAAACCGTTGTGTTGAGGTTATCAATCTCAATTGATTTCATTAAGGAGTTAAAGAGGTTAAATGCTACTATTAAATCGGTATACGGCGTTGTTCTATATTTGGTTAATAGTAAGGGTTATTAATGAACGGTCGTTGTTAATAACTACCCTCGATGAATTGGATATACTCCTCGATTGAGTATTCGAGAGGGGATAAGTTATAGATATAACAATGATCGACTAAAATATATCAACAAGTGAAAAGTAGCAAGACCAAGTCCCTTTTATGCTTGAATTTAATCCCATATAACTCGTTCATCTTCGTGCTTAATTTAATTAAATCACTCAACAATCAAAACCCCCCTTTATTTACTATTTACATAAAAAGAAAGTTATTCCTTTCCCTGTGGATACGAACTCTACTACGCTATACTACGTATAAGTGTTAGTATTGAATTTATTTTGAGTGCACACACGACAAGTGCACGTCAAAAGCTAATCTAGAACGTCTGAATAATAATAATAATAATAATAATAATAATGATGATGATGATGATGATGATGATGATGATGATGATGATGATGATGATGATGATAATGATAATGATGATGATGATGATCATGATAATAATAATAATAATAATGTACAGTAATGAAAATGTTATCTACTGAGTGTACGTGGGCCATTGTCCAGGCCCAATAGTCGTGAGACCCGGGGTCTGAGTCTATATACTCTATCACAAACAATAATGTTAATTGAGTTCTTTCATATGAACTCCACTGATTTTGATGCGAAAAATTTGAATCTATTGTATATTGAGTTCTCAGAATACTTTGTTTGGTCCACTGCATCTAGGAAATGGCATTTAAGGAAGCAACAACAAGTCATTAATAGATTGGTTTCAGTTAATCCAACCGAAGGGGGGCGTTATTACCTAAGGTTGCTATTACTCAATGTTCGTGCCCCAAAATCATACCAGGACTTGCGTACAGTGAACATGTATGTAATATCTACATTTAGAGAGGCTGCCGAAAACTCTTGAAAACTAACGACTCCATAGAAAATTGTTTCCAAAAAGCTATACTGTATCAAATGCCTTCGACTCTTAGACATTTATTTGCTACCATGTTATTGTCTTGTGATTTGCCTAATCCAAGATTAATGTGGAACAAATACAAATACTTTTTCTGTGAGGATTTCATAAAGAGTGGGTTATAAAGTATTGAAGAAATACATGTTAAAGTTGTTTAATCCTTGCACCAAATACTTCAAAGTAATGGGAAAAGTCTAACAACCTTTGACTTGGTAAATGACTTCAACTTCATTCCAAATAGCACTTCTGAGAGAATTTTAAGAGAAATTGAAGCTAACAGGGGAATAAAAGTGAGTGAATATGATTTGTTGTGCATTGAGAAGCTAAGCACAGATAAAAAAAAGGGCATACACTATGATAACACATGCTGTTAACACCAAGATCGGAGAAGTCTTTTTTCTCGATGGACCAGGGGATACTGGAAAAACATTTTTGTACCGATGTTTACTTGCTACTGTAAGATCAGAGGGAGGAATTGTGGTTGCTACAGCTAGCTCTGGAATAGCATCTTCTACTTTACCAGGGGGTCGAACAACACACTCGAGATTCAAAATACATATTGTTGGTGAAAACAAAACAGTTTGCAACATAAGTAAACAAAGTGTCGAAGGACTCTTGTTAAAAGAGTCTGAATTAATCTTCTAGGATGAAGCTTTAATGACCAATCATAGGTGTGCAGAAACCCCAGATGAAATACTCCGAGACTTTATGAATTTGAAACAATTGATCGGTTCAAAGGCATTAGTTTTTTGTGGCGATTTTAGACAACCGCTTCATGTAATATGAAATGGCAGGAAAGAAGATTACATATATGCAAGTCTGGTGAGGTCCCCTCTATTTGGCCTCACATTCAACCTTTGGTACTCACTAAAAACATGTAGGAAAAAACTGATCCTGCATTTTGCGAGTATGTTTTGCGCCTAGGCAATGGAACAGAACCCACTACGTAGGATGGTAAAATTAAAATTCCACACAGTTTTTTGTTGCCGTATATAGATCAAGCAATCGCTCTTGATACAATGTTGGACTATGTGTACCCCACACTAAATACATTTCTGACCGAACCGTTCTCTTTGATGCAAAGAGGAATACTCACAACAATAAATGAGTTTGTAGACAAAATTAATTCAGTGTTAATTGATAGGTTACCAGGAGAAGAAATGTGCTATTTAGGCTACGATGAGCCTTTAGATACCAACAAATTTCTGCATTGTGAAGACTGCCTCCTACACTGTATCTCTCTAGTCGGGATGTCACCACACAGATAGGTTTCAAAGAAACATTGCCCGCTGATCTTATTGAGAACTCTCGACCTGTGTGAAGGGCTTTGCAATGGGACAAGACTTGTAGGTAATATATTGAGTGATCGTGTTCTTGGCTGCACAATAGCATCCGGAGAACACAAAGGGAAAATGTATTTATTCCTAAAATACCATTGCACCTGTCAGAAGATGATAATTGTCACATACTGTTCACACGACACCAATTTTCAGTAAAGGTGTGTTTTGCCATGACTATAAATAAATCTCAAGGCCAAACCTTGGATTTGGTTGGAATTTATTTGAAAAAATCGTTGTTCTCGCACGACCAATTATATGTATCATTGTCTAGGGCTAGAAAAGCATCATATGTCATGTTAATCATACATTAAGATGATGATCTAAATGAACTAACATGTTGCACCAACAACATTGTCTATCCTGAAATATTGAACGATTCTAGCATGTCAATCACTTTAATTATATTACACTTTTTTTACATTTTCTTTTCAAACTGCCTTGATATTTTCCAGATATATGCTAGGGTTCCCACACTACTCTTATATTTCTTTTTTAAGTATATACTTTCATGATGAAAAATATTCATACCTCAATTACTTAATCATTGTTCATAGGGTTTAATTGTAACACCAACTAATTCAATTGAATCTCGTTTTTTTTTTTGTGAAATTAGTATGTTATATTATATAGCCCCTAACATTAACATTTCAAAGATACTTATAATGAAAACATTTTACAAAATTCATAAAAACTAATGTTGGACATATGATATTCGTGCAACGCGCAATGAATTTACTAGTACTTGTAATAAGTACAGAATATGTTTAATGAATTTATTATGAATGTAAAATTGTATATGCATATACTATTCATTAATCATTTTAATGATAATTTATATTAAAAAAAATGACGAGACAATTTGTGAATCAGATAAGGAGCCATCCACTCTAGAACATAGGGGTGGGATCGGTCCGGTCTGGGTCGGGTTTTTGTTAAACCCGAAAATTACCCGGAAGGTCTCGGGTTATGAAAAATAGGGACCGGAACAAAGCTCATTATATTCGGTCCGAGTCGGGTTTTTGGTAGCCCGGATTCGGTCCGGGTTCGGGTTGGGCCGGTTAAAGCTCGAATGTGAACTATCTCATTGTTCTTTTATATTTTAACACCTATTTTCAAATATAATTAATCAAAAATAAAAAATATTTTAACACAAATATTAGTCTCCAAAATCACCAACAATTCAAATCCAAAGAGAATAATTATCTTAATATTTTATTTAAGATGCATATAAATAAATAATATAGGTTTCTTAAAAATATTACGAAATAAAATTTATAGATAAAAATGTGACTAAAGTTGCTATAAATATATTTTCATGGTCATTACGCTAAACAAATTGAACATATTTGTAATCACTAAAAGTTACTAAAGAATTTTTTTATTCACCGTGATCATAGTCATATATTAGGAAATATTTATAAATGCATATTCATATATTATATTAATTTTATATTGAAGCTAATTGTTTCGGTTTTTTATCGGTCCGGGCCGGGTTATAGATTTTAAGGCTCGTTAATGAGCCCGGAATTTCGGGCTCGGTCCGGTTTTTTTTTTAATTCGGGCCGGTTAAAAAGAAAAAACCCGGACCGGGATTATAATTCGGGTCGGTTTCCGGGTTTCGGTTCGGTTTCCGGGTTTCGGTTCGGTTTTTCCCACCCCTACAGAACAGGATAGAACTGTGTCGTAGTTGCCATATCGACACCACACATATAGGAATCCATTACACATATGTTCAAAGTGCATACAACAATGAGTAATATTTATTTCCATTATTCATTGGTTGAGATAATATATTGATATATCATAACAAAATCGAGCTTGCGAATCATTCTCCCAACTTTGAGCTTTCTAATAAAAAAATATCTTTGATTATTAGACATGCTTTGTTCTCACAAACCTCTACATCATTATATAAGGATACTCATGACTTCCCATGATGTTTAAAACTTTGAAAATATGATTTTTAGTTAATTAGGGAAAAAATATCTAATACTTCGTATATAAGAGAAATAAGACATTGGACTATTTCAGTCCCAGATCAGACCAGATCAGATCAGACCAGACCAGACTTGACTTCTGTAATTATAAAATACACAAAGACCAGCCGTTTACCAGACCAGACCAGTTCAGACCAGACTAGATCAGACCAGACCAACAAATTTCAATCCAAAAGAAAACATTCTTAATAATTTTTAGTGATCATAATTATTTTTAAATTTGAAATGAGGATTGTTATAAAATAGTGCTGAATTAAACACTTGCAAGTTTGATTTTAGCAGGAGTAAATTTTTTAGAAACAACCTATTCATAGTTTCATACATTCCCGATCCTTGTACAATACAACCCCCGTTATTTAACTCAGTTTCTATAAATTGGCATAAAGCCGAAACAGGTTGCTTCTTGCCAATTCTTTTTCTTCTTCTTCCTAAAGCTTTCTTCACCACTTTAAACAACAGGTTCCTGGGTTTATCATCCGATATGGCGAAGTTGATGATCAGAGTTCGGAGCAGAGATGGGTTGGAGCGGGTCACAATCGACAACCCACACGCCACAATCGCTCACCTCAAATCCGAAATCGAGACTCAGCTCCGAGTGCCCATCCAATCTCAAACGCTTTCCACAAATCAAAAACTCTTGCTCGCCAAAACCCTAGACGACTTGGCCCAATTCACCGACTTGTCCAACCCTCTCGCTCCGATTTCTTCCGTCAACATCGGCCATGGCTCTATCATATACCTGTCCTATGAGGGCGAGCGGACCGTCGCCGGTCCGGCCTTCAACCCAGCAGGGTCGTTCGGGAAGAAGATGACCATGGATGACCTCATCGCCAAGCAAATGCGCGTTTCCAGACAGGAGGAACCTCACTGCGAGCTTGTCTCATTCGATCGAGACGCCGCCAATGCCTTCCAACATTACGTCAATGAGACGCTTGCTTTTGCCGTGAAGCGCGGAGGGTTTATGTACGGGACCGTCTCTCCCGAAGGGAAAGTGGAGGTAAATTTCATATATGAGCCGCCTCAGCAGGGGACTGAGGATAGGTTGTTGCTTCTGCGCGATCCGCTTGAGGAGAAGCTCGTTGATGCGATTGCCAAGGGGTTGGGTATGAGTAGGGTAGGATTTATCTTCACTCAGACTGTTACTCAAGACAAAAAGGATTATACTATGTCAAATGCAGAAATTCTGCAAGCTGCTGAGCTGCACGGGGAGAGTGACTTGAAGGAGTGGGTGACAGCAATGGTTAAATTGGAGGTTAGTGAGGATGGGGGTGCAGATGTGCATTTTGAGGCATTCCAGATAAGTGACGTGTGCATTAGATTATTCAAAGAGGGATGGTTTGAAACAGAAGGCATTGAAGATTTAGATCCCAAGCTTTCGAGGATGAAGAAAAATGTAGTTGTTGGTGTGAAGGACACAAAAGAGGTAGACAATGATTTTTTCTTGGTCGTAGTCAAGATTGCTGATCACCAGGTGCGTTTGAGTTTTCCCCTTTGCTTTCTGTTATTCATTTTGGTTCTTTCCTTCTATAGTTCATGCCTTGGACTATTTTATCTGACAGGCATCACCATTCAGCTTTGCATTTAAGTTTATTTTTAGTAGATTACAGTACACGATCAAAGAGAAGATGAATATGAATTAGGGGAGCTAAATTAGATGCTTAAAATATTAACTAATAACTGCCTTCACAAATATAGTGATAAATGTGTGTGCTAGGAAGGTGAGAAATAGGTCACATGCGTAGTTCTTTTTATTAATACCAAACTAGTGATTTTTTTCCAACCATGATGAATAGTCAATTAGTCTTAACCTCTATTCGGCCATCAACTACTTTGCTTTCCCGTTCCCTTCAATTTTATAGTTCCTCGCACTATATTACATTGTTACCATCTGTGTGTTTGAGGGCCTAAACATCCAGTTGCTTTTCAATTTTGGTCGGTGATATGTTGTAGTTTAGTGCCGTTGGTGTTTCACACTTCGTTTTAAAAGGCGTGAGGTGCAAATAGGACGCATGGACCTTATGGAACCCAAGTGCAAATCTTTGCTAAGGGGCATTGTTAATATTGATATGTTATACCCAAACAGAATATAAAAATACCATTAGATAAAAACTATATAAAGGCAGAATAGTAAAAGAAACTGTTGAAGCAGTAATACTACAAAAAGGCCCAAGCATTAGAATTATATGCAAGAGGAAAAATTATAATTATATTTTCCATCATTTCCAATGGAGCCAAAGACTCATGTTTTTGGCTTGGGAATATGACGAAATAAAGCAAAATGTCTCACTAAACTGTCTTTGTTATGAAGACTGTTGGGCCCAACGTTTCAGATGCTCAACTTCCTTCCGCAACTCTGCTCTATGTGCCTAGGCGTGACTCAGGCGCACCTTTTTAACCTAAGTTCCACACCATACACATGTACCATGTAAAACATATGTACTAGGTTCTTTAAATTTATTGCTAAACTGTCATTGCTTTGGCGACTATGGCTGGTAATATCTAGTTTGATTTTAATTAATGCTTACGTCATGTCTCTTGTTCGGGCAAAATGCAGAAATCATGTCTATTTCTGAGGTTTCATTATAATCCCATCAGTGTGCTGTTCTACTAGGTTATTTTTATATATGAGAAGGGCACATTTGTCACATGATCTTAGTGTTTAAAATTGAACTATGTAGACCTCCCTTGGCATTTCATTTTTATTTGAAGCTGTGTACAAAATGCAAATTGTTCCAACATTACAAGAAAGGTGGAAACGCACTAGAACATTAGTACATATCTTCATTGAAATAAATTGCAGTGAACTGATAACTTAATAATTAAACTGGCCTCTTTAAATAGTGGCAATTATCTCTAACACAATAGTGATTGCTCAAAGGTCACCTGTCATTCTTATTATCCAAAGATTTTTTGAGTATAATTCTCCTCTTATTGACATTTAGTTGTACTGTTGTTCCTATAGGGTTTTAACAGAACCTAAGAGTAAAAATGTAGTGGTAGTGGTTAATGTGAAAAAGTGAAAAATATTGTGTGAGAGCAGATGAAAAAGTTAAAAAAAAAAAAAAGAAATGAAAGGGTAATGATATTTATGTCTTGATAAGTACGGAGTAATTGTCAAAAATGGAAAATGGGGTGATAATAAATTTCATAAAAGCAAAGAGAATCGACTAAATGTGAACCGGGGGGGGGGATGCCTTCGTATGTTGTTGCTGCTTAATAAAAATCCTATTTCCTCAATGTTTCATGGGCCATTGCATCTAATGTGAACTTTTACTATTTGCAGGGCCAACTTTCATCCATATTTCCTATTGAGAACCGGAATATTCCAGTGACAATGAAGGCACTGCAACCCCATTTTGATCGAACAAAGAATCTCCCATTTGTGAAGCAAATCTCAGATTTTCATCTGCTGCTCTTATTGGGGCAGTTTTTTGACATCGATGCTGATGTTCCTGCATTAACTGGATATGTGCGAGAACAATCACCGGTCTCTGAGGGTTATAAGCTCCTTATAGAGTCCATGGCTAGGACCTCTTATTAAACCACTCAATCAGCAAATGTGATGGTGATGATGACACAATCGGTTGTGCTGCAAATATCGACTCTCACCCAAGCTATCCGAAACCCCATTTACTCTGGAATTGGCATGTTCGCTCGGTAGTGGTGTATGCCTTGGCACATTTTATGCTGCTGTAACTTAAACACGCCAATGTTTTTTTTTACTGGGATGTCTTCTTAATTTAACATTTATTTTGTATTATTAGGGTTCGCCTTTGTTTTCTTTTGCTGGATCGAATCCAAATATATTCAATTTGATGCACTTGCAAATAGAATGAAATTAAACATAACAATGTCAAGTTTTAGTTACATTTGGTTACAGTTTAAACCAAAACAATTGTATTTACTATGAACCTATGATGTATGAGCAAAACTAATACTTTGTCATTTTTAATCTCAACGGGAAGTACACTAACTGGAGTACCTAAAATGTGCTAATGTGGCGCTTTCTTCTCTGCGAAGATATTTCAAAGATGTCACTCTAGATGCTGAGCTCGTAGAATGACTAGAATTTGTTGAGGATAACTCTTCCTCCTCTTCACTTTAGGGTTTAGGGTTGTTACTTTCTTATGATGAACTTATTCACCTTGCATATTTTTTTTTTGCGGGAAATATAAATTTTATTAAAAAGGGAGAAAGTGAAGTACACAAGAAGAAACAAAAGAAGATTAATGTTTCAAAAAGCAAATTCGTTAAAAGGGCTGAGATCGGTGGAGGATGGCGGATTTGCTGTCATGGCTCGAGGAGATCAGCGTTGTGGTCATGGTTCGAGGATGTGGCGTGGCTGTCGTCGTTGGAGAAGATCGGCGCCGCCTATCCGTTTACAGCCAAAGGTCATGGAGGATCAATTAGCATGGTACCGGTGGTACGACCTCCTCCTGAACCACCATCATGGGATGTACGAGATGCTAGAGTTTGTGAAAGTTTTTCTTGTAGTTTTTATCTGTTTGTTATTTGTTTTCTTGTGTCCACTTTTGTTGTTGGTTTTGACAGTTTGTTTGAGTTTTTTGCTTCTCTTTATGTCATTGGGTATGGTTGGATCTATGAGAACATGTTTGGATGTGTCAAGCCCACTACATGGTTAGCGATTCGTGTTGCTCTCTTAGGGGTGACCGTCTCAAAGTCTCACCATAGGGTTACAGTCGTAGTTGTTGCAGTTTCAGTTGGTGTCAGTTTTATTTTCTTTTTCTTTTGATATGAATAGATGTCTGTCTTGATGATAAAAAAAATAGAAACAAAAACAAAAAACTAACGAAACGGAAATTAAAGAAAAACAAAAAACTTATTCACCTTGTAATACCTTCACAACTGGTCATGCATCATCCATGACATATTCACCTTCACAATTGTGTTTATGTTTCACTGCTACAAAAATATTAGCTCAGTGACGTGAAGCCAAATAAACATTGCTTAGTAACCTCTAGAGTAAACATTCCTCCAATTTTCAACATTTCAATAATTCACTCTCCATATGGGATGCTCAATCTTCGATGACAAACTTTTTGTCCTGTGTTTCTAGTGGCGCTAAACTTTTAGGTTGAAGTTTGCTCTCGTGATATAAAATGACATTGTTTTTGTCATTTTTAGTCCTCCGTATTATGTCACTCACACTTTTGATACTCGATTTTGAGTTTTTTCACTTTAAGTCCTTCGACTATTGTGTGACAGACACTTTTGGTACTTGTCTTTGAAAATTTCCACATTTAGGTGCTGTTCTGTTCGTCTTATTCTTATTACTTATTGCTTATTCTTATTTTATTCAGATCAGATCAGATCAGATCAGAAAAATTCAGATCAGATCAGATCAGATCAGAAAGATTCAGATCAGATCAGATCAGATCAGAAAGATTCAGATCAGATCAGATCAGATCAGAAAGATTCAGATCAGATCAGAAAGATTCAGATCAGATCAGACCAGATCAGAAACATTCAGATCAGATCAGAAACATTCAGATCAGATCAGATCAGAAAAGTTCAAACATGATTTATCACTTTTATTATTATATTAATTATTATTATTAATATTGTTATTACTATTATGATTATTATTATTATATAATTATTATTAATATATTAATAATAATATGATAAAGAAATAAGATATTAATAATAGTTATAATATTTTAATATAATAATAGTAATATAAATGCAATTATTAAGAAGACTATTATTATTATTATTATTATTATTATTATTATTATTACAATATAATAATAATAATATGATTAATATTATTATAATATTATATTATAATTATATGTAATTATAATTATAATTACAGTCATAATTATAATTATGATTATAATTATAATTATAATATAATATTATAATAATATAATACTAATAATAATAATAATCGTATTATTATTAATATATTGTAATAATAATATTAATATAATAATATTGTTATGATAATATTAATTGTATTTATAGTACTATTATTATATTATAATATTATAATTAATGTTAATATAATTATAATTATTATTAATTATAATTATAATAATTATAATTATATTATTATATTATAATATTATAATTATAATTAATTTTAATATAATTATAATTATTATTAATTCTGATTATAATAATTATAATTATACTTATAATTATATTATAATTATAATTTATGATTATAATTATTATTTTTATTATAATAATTATTATTATTATTACTATTGTAATTATTTTACGGAGTAATTATAATAATATTGATAACTATAGTTACAATTATAGAGATAAATATTGTAATTATAATTACAATTATAATTATATAAGTAATTATAATTAAAAATATAATTACAGTTATAATTATATCTATATTTATAATTAGTGTAATAGGTATAACTTTTTTCATTTTACATTTAATTTTAATTATTATTATTATTATTATTATTATTATTATAGTTACGATTATAATTATAATTTTATTTAAATTATATTTGTAATTGCAATTATAATAATTATAATTATAATTATAATCATAATTATAATCATAGAAACATTCAAATCAGATCAGATCAGAAAGATTCAGATCAGATCAGAAGGATTCAGATCAGATCAGAAACATTCAGATCAGATCAGACCAGATCAGAAACATTCAGATCAGATCAGAAAGATTCAGATCAGATCAGATCAGATCAGAAAGATTCAGATCAGATCAGATCAGATCAGAAAGATTCAGATCAGATCAGATCAGATCAGAAAAATTCAGATCAGATCAGATCAGAACTTAAAAAATTCAGATCAGAAACATTCAGATCAGGCGAAGAGAACAGCTTCTTAGTCTTTCGGCTTTCATAAAAGTGACACTTTTGGTCCTTCAACTATTATAATTGTGACATTTTTAGTCCTCCACTTATCGTGTCAAATTCACGATGGAGGGACTAAAAGTGTCAATTTTATAATACTCGGAGGACTGAATGTGGAAAACATTGAAGTTAAGGACTACAAATGTCATTCACACAATATTCGAGGATTAAAAATGGAAAAATTGAAAGTCGAGTATCAAAAGTGTCACCCAATAGTCGAGGGACATAAAATGGAAAAAACTCTCAAATGAAATTTAATCTTGTGGCTACGAAGTTTGCACTTAATATTGGATGTTGTTTGAAATGGCATATTGACACTTTTCACTTTGTGTTTTCCTCCATTTCTTCATCAACACAGGTGGATGTTAGATACTAAAACTTTCGTGCTATCTTTGCCTGTCAGTCTCACTAAAGTAAGAACTGAAACTAGAATGCATGATAAAACATTTTGATTCATATATATTTGCAGAATTTTAATTTAAAGTTTAATGCTCAAGATTAACTCAAGGTTTAGTTCATTGGTCTCTTGCAATACTGGTCTTTGTCCACTCAAATTCGAGTTCAAGTCAAAGTTTCAAGTTCGAAATTGTTTCAAATTTAAAGGTGAAATGAACTTCATGTAAGTGAAACTCTTGTGTTCGTTTTTGGAACTTCATGCTTTATGTCAAAATAGATAATTCTGTAACATTTTTTATTAACAATGTTATATTGTGGTTTCTACCCCCATTATGTGTTGTTCTTCACGATCACGCCATAAGTTTGGGAGTATAACACTATCTCAAAGATAAGCTACCTTCCTCAAAAGACAACAATGTTCATAATTCATAACAAAAAGACTAAAAAGGACCTTTAAAAGGCATCCCGAGAATGAAAGATGTGTTTGGTTTTAAAAGGCCGATCACAAGATACTTACCCTAGATGTGAGTAGATTTTTATAGTAAGTTTCACCGGACTATTCAAAACATGTTACCGTGTTGGTAATGGGACAACTGGACTTTAGAGAAGACATCCCAATTGAAAGTCGTCGTGCACTATAAGAGCATCTCCAATGCTACAATGTATACGGTGCACATGTGGCATGAGAGAGATAGACACAAAAATTTAAATTTATGACATTTCTCTCTCATTCTTTCCACGGTTTTATCTGTTTTTGGTAAGTTTTGCTCTGCAATGTCAAGCACAATGTCTACATCTAGACATTGTGCTTGACGTTGTGAAGAAAAACTTACCAAAGTGATACAAGATCCTTCAAATAAGGAGAGAGATATTCTATTTATTATTTTTTAATTGGTTGTCTCTCATGCCACGTATGCACCGTTCACGTTTTAGCATTGGAGATGCTCTAAGGTGTCTATCTATATTGTTTGAGCAACCCAAATCCACCTACTATAATACAATAACATACAAAATACATTAGAAAACTTATTCATCTGATATGGGATGCTTTTGTTAAATATAACTGTTGTATATGATGCAATGTGTAAAACCAGTCAACAATTGTTCGTATCAAATTCTACGATTTATGTAATAAGTTGTAATCAAATAGTCCACCAAATGGTTAAATTGTGGACCATTTATCAATTGTTTGTGTGATGCTCGACCACTTGGAAAATAAATGGAGCAATTTTATTGATCTTTACAGAACAAGCATCTATTAAAATGTTCACACTATCTACTGTTTAAACATGTAGGATATATATTTTTTGATGATATATTTTAGTAGTTGTTTGTGTTAAGAAGGATTTGTACTTTTAGTCGCATAACTTTTGGTTGTGCCCGTTATTAGTTCTATAACATTATTCATTTGCAATTTGGTACTTTATTTAAAAAAATATGTTTATTTTAAATACTTTTTCGATGAAGAGTACAATTTCTGACAAGAAACCAACCAGAAAAGACGTTGATGTCGGCAACATGACTTGGAAGTGAATAAAATTACAAGACTAAAAATGGACACAAATGATAGTTAAAGGGCTAAATCTACAATTTTCTCTCTTTTAAACACTTTGAGATCAAAGACACTTCTGCAATATGATTCGGAATTTATTGAGAAATT